CACCGTAGGTGATAATCGAGGGCGCGAGAACACTGAATATGAATAGGCAAGGTTGAGCGTGGGCAGGGGGTTATTACCCTAAAATTTCAGCTTCCTTGACCACGTGGTTCCCGAGATATTAATTTACTCGCAAAAAACTTTCACGGGACCGTACGTGTTACCCGCGGGTAAGGGAAGGCTGAATTTAAATTTGTCTAGTCGTCCGTTGGCGGGGAACACTATACCAAAATTTCAACCGCCTAGCTTTTGTGGTTCCCGAGCTGAAAGTGCGGGACAAAATGTAGGACACACACACAAACATATACACAGACAACCCCGTGACAATATGCGTTTTGTAACTCTGTTACACCGCACAAAACGCATAAAAATCAGGAAAACAAACCTCGAGGAATTTGGCATCAGCTTCAAGCTGCCGCCGCACAATTTTAAGTGCCACAAAACAATTTTAAGTTCATTTTTAATTACCGCATTAAATATCACGGAGGGGAACTCGAGTCAAGAGACATTTGCATACCACAAAGAATCGAAGGGCAACTGGGCAACGCGAAGGGGTTTAGCTACCATCATCGTTTCTTTGCTACTAGCACCTTCTTCCTTTTGCAACACATTCTCAGATATACTGATGGTAAAAACTTAGCCATATTCTGCTTCCTCAAAAATTCACTATCGATACCGGTATGGTTATGGAGCTCTGGACCACTAAGAGCAAAGAATTATCCATCCGGAATTTAAAATATCTCGTTTGTTTGTTCACTGACATACATACAAAGCAGACAAGAACACTTCTTTTCCGTATATTTTCTCAGTTTTGCAAAAATGAAAAAAAAAAAATCGATTCTTCCGCCGATTATGCCTCTGCGCGAAAAGCGTTCTGTGTAAAATGCTCTTGGCGAATTTTCATTTTTTGAAGCCGAAATTCTTTTGCTGTGAAAATCTATGAAAATACTCGAATCGCTGAGCGTCCCAAGCAAAAACTATCCAGAAAAATGTAATAAAAAACTTACGGTAGAAGCCTTTGGCGGAGATTTTCGAGCAGTATAACATCATCCAAATAGCCTTTTCGATTCGTATACTTCACCGCAAATGCCAGTCTGCGCACTGCTGTCTGATACCTTCAAAACAGGCTCTTTTTATGCGTTTTGTGCTGTGTAACAGCGTTACAAAATGCATATTGTCGCAGGGTTGTCTGTGTGTGTGTCCCGCATTTTGTCCCGCACTTTCAACTCGGGAACCACAAAAGCTAGGCGGCTGAGATCTCGGTGTAGTGTTCCCCGCCAACGGGTGACGCAGCAAATTTAAATTCAGCCTTCCCATATCGGCGAGTAATACGTACGGCCCCGTGAAAGCTTTTACGGGTAAATTAATATCTCAGGAACCACGGAGTCTAGGAGGCTGAAATTTCACGGCAATGACCCCCTGCCCACGCTCAACCTTGCCCATTCAAGTTCAGCGTCCCCGCGCTCTCGGGTACCACCTACAGGCTAGTGAAAGTTTTTACGGGTAAATTATTATCTCAGGAACCACGGGGTCTAGAAAACTGAAATTTTACGGTAATAACCCCCTGCTCAACCTTGCCTATTCAAAATCAGCGTTCCCTCGCTGCTGTGTATCACCTGCGGCTTCGTGAGAATTTTGGCGATTAAACTATTAA